TAAGTTTATTTATTGACGATAATAGTTTTGACCAAAGTATGAAAGTTCAAAGTTCAAAATTCGCCAACTATAACTACGAAACTATTTCTGATGATTCACGAATAATTTGCAAAATGATTATGAAGTCGTAAATCGAAAGGAATCCGTTCATCTCCGGCCTAGTATTAACAGTGGCACATTAATTAAAGTCGGCGACAGTGTGTTGATCTTGTCTGATCGACAATTTTGGCCGCGTCATTCGCAACACTGCTTGTGTTAATTTTTCATTAAGAAATTATTAAAAGACCGCTATAAAAGCTTCATCAACGAATTGGGGTTACTATAAGGTCGATTACCATCTGCCTTAGGGCTGGCAGGGGACCGAAACGCGCATTCTCGCTAATTAGTCCCGTGTTCGTACCGTTCCCGAAGAGAAATCCCTTTCAACATTTATTGCCTTCTCAAATGCTCGTATAAAAGCGTTTAACGTCACTCTTCCAATGTAGTACAAGACTAAGTGTCTATTAGCGTAAATCTCGAGGAATGTTCACGCGATTTCATTGAGTAATTAAGCGAAAATTAACATGTCATGTATTGTGTCAACCCTGAATTGGTGATGTACTGCCTCCTTTAGAGGACATCTTTATTCCGGACATATTGCCATTCATCATCATTGTTATTCTCTGAATTTTTTAATGGTACTGCTATTAACATGTCAATAGTATAATGCTTTATGGCCTATGATAATTCTAGTGCTTCTATCATTAAGAAGAACTTGACATAACAATTAGTCTTATTTATGCTGCTTGTGGTAGTAAGAGCCAATCCATAAGCTTTTATGGGTCACCTGATGGTGGTCGTGTATACCTGCAACTCCTAACGCTCACAACTACATTGAAGATAATCTATGCAACTGTTTAAGTAATTGTGCTATTGTTCCTGGGGAGGAAAGCTTTAAGTAAATGATGGCGCAATCAAACAGTGGGTATCTGGGGTACTTTTATGATAGTGGTAGTCGAAAAATAGAAAACAGTACAATTAAAATATATCTATGTTTTATTATAAACAAATGTCACCGGTAACAACTTCCATGTCGAATTATTTTCAGTTAAGAAAGCGAACAATGAATCTATACGCGCATTGTGTTCGATTCTGAATAAACATTGTATGTATAATGAACGTATTTTCAGTCGTGCCGGAAGCCATATATCTCCAATGACTATAATCCAGGTGATTGACCAACATTTAGCGAAAATCTAGATTATTTTGATAAAAGATCGTCTGTGTCGTAGTTTATGGGTTTAAATCTGTCGTGTGTGTAACAAACTAGGAGCTTTACGGTGACAGTTTGCTTAGCTTCCTGATTTTGTGCGCGGTAAAGGTGCGAACAATTATACTAGGAGTTACAGAGTGTTGACGGGGGTGTTCGGTATATGAAGCTGAAATTGTAATATTTGGCGGACCAAAAAGAAAGTTGTCTATCGGAAATTGGTTGGCTATTTGGAAAAGGACATAATCAAAGTCAAAGCATTTATTTCAATTAAAGCATAATTTTGTACTTTTGAAACGTCAAAAAAATAATAGACTTTCAGTGAAGCTGGTGCTCACTCCAAAATGTAGATTCGACTGGAGTAGAACGAGCAAGAAACTCCATTTGTTTTAAAAAGAAATCAATATCAAAAAATGTATTTGTAGGTACACCATAATAAAACTGGAAGCTGGAAGTCATTAATGAAGGCCTAACCTTTGAGGGGGCGTTTTCTTACGAAATGTGAAAATAATTTATTTACTACGATTTAATTTAGCTGCTCATCATAGCATTTACATAAACAACTTAGTACGACTAACTACAGTTTTAGCACTTCCACGAATTAGCACCCTGTATAATGTCATTTAATGGCGATACTCGTCGAATGTGACGATGCTTCCATTACTTGTTATGTTTAGTGTTTGGACACTCGCCAATGTTGACATGGCGTTAATCCCGATTGTTTACACTCTGTAAACGTAAATTACATGTAAACATAATAATATATTTCACTGTAAACTTCAACAGTTTTCGCGCCATCTCCTTGTAAGTGACAGCTGTCACAACGTAGCTCTTGTTGTATTGTTGAAAATAAAATACAATGTCTCTGTTAAAATGTAATGAGTAAAGAAATGAGTAAAGAATAAGAAAGTGTGATTAAACAGTCTCGTCGCTTGTATCTTATGACTTTTGATTTTCAAATGCATTTTGCAATTATAATACCGATATCATTTTTTTGCCCCACACTAGGATTTTATCCTGTGTCGTGAGTGCGTTTAAAAACATACAAGTTGACATACACAATGACACCCAGATCCGAAACAACAATTTGTGGATCACACAAAGTGTTGTTCCGAGCGGGAATCGGCAGCCGGTTGCCCAGCCACCGCACCAACTGTGCAGTCATAATAACCACTTTGTTGCAACCATTATATGGTTAATTGAGTCATGAATAAATTAATCACTATTTCTATAACACCAGTAGCTGGTACAATATAATTGACAATTAATTAAAGCTAATGGCATTCTCGCACTTAGCTTTTAATACAACCATTAAGATACCCTACAATCAATCACATGAGTTCTGTCTGTAATTGCGTCAGAACAAAATGAAGAATGCACTCGAGTGACCTTGAATTAAGATTTAATCGGTTTTTGCTGTACAAACGAAGCCAATTTTATCCATGACCAGACCAGCCAATGAGTTCATCGTTGCAGAAAAATATTCTTTATTAATCTGAATCATCCAAGCATTAAGATGACTCGACTATCCGAATTAAAGGACATGAAATTTTCAATTCAACAAACCACATTTTTTTAATTAAACCTATGTCTGGTAACAACACCCTTGCTACAGTCGATGTAGGTATAATTTTTATTTTTTAAATCGTTTAACTTTTTATTGCGTGTGACATGTTTTAAGGCTATAAATCTAGTGGTACAGTGTCCCTATTTGACCCCGATTTGGTCGCGTGTCGCCACTAAATATTTCAATTATTGTTATAATGATATTTGTCCGGCTGACGTCGCCACCATAAAATTTTAGAACCTCAGATAGTCAAGATAAATGGCCATTCTGTTTGCCTTCCGACCACTTAAACTTTTGAATTGAACTAATCTGAGTTGTTATAGAAAAGGTTTCATATAAAATCATTGTGGAATGACAAAGTCATTAAACCTGTCTCCGTAAGGTCATTTGTCATAAATTTACGATCGAACGACCATAAACCGTCTTCATAGGCACCGAAGTATATTTTAATTCTAATAAATTAAATTATAATAACCATTTATAAGTAATCAATTTAATCTTTGAGAAATAGAAAGTGTTTGATAAAATTTTCTAAGTTTTTATTTATTTTATTCTACGACGTCTACTATCTTATGCTAAACTTCTTAGTGAAAAGGTAGGCGTAGAAAAAAAAATTCTGACTGAAATACTGTTACAAAACTTAGGTATATTGCATTAATTAAAAATTCTCTTATTTAGCATTGGAAGGCAACCTGTATGGTTGAAATTGGTTTGCGCAGATGCCATACTCAAATAAAGTTTAAAAAAAGAACAATGTTTTGTGAGGTCTATTATATTCGTCCTCCTTGTACCGTAACTCCAATGGCAACAAAGTACGCAGTACCACAACAGATCTGATAGATGACACAGTTGGTCTACTAACCGTATTGTAGTTACATTTAGTATAAAATGCACGTTGTTCATGAAAGGCGCGAAAGCTTGGCGCCACGCCACCGACTTCTTTACGATCACTGATACTGGTTTAAGTAATAAGTACCGTGTTCTCTATGCATGAGAAACTTATAAAAGTCGGCCACTTGCACCTATTATATAGTACAGGATACTGGCCAATCAAAAACATTTTTATTCTCTGTACTTTAGTTCCATTTCAAACCCTTCATATGATAATAGTTTCAAACAAATATATCTAGAAATAAGATTCTAGAATTTCTAGTTTCTGATGTTTCCAGTAATCGTATTTAGATTATATCTGTTAATAATCTCCTCTTGTAAATACTATCTATGCGCGGGATCAAAATTGCCTGCCAATGTTCTACGGATAAATATAAATGCGAATAAAATTCATGAATGTAAATGTTCTTATGAATATAATGGCATTATCTTGAAATACAGGGAAATGCACAATCCGACTTATGTAAATTTTAAATACGAAGTTATGACGAATGCAAATATGAAATAAGTAATGACACGAATGCAGGGCGCTGCGGTGTTGCGAGTTTTACTCAACCATCGAATAAAGATATCAACGGGGATTTGTCTAATACTCGCTTTAATTCAATTCACGTAGTAAGATCAAAGGGGCCGTAACTCTTGGCAACGTACAACTAACAATAAAGTAATGGTTACCAGTAGCACCGATAATAATTACTTTATTTAAATACCCCGGCGACTCTTGGCTCGTCTCCTCACGGCTTAACCTTCATGGATATTAATTTGATTTATGACGCGAATTGTTATGTTCCATTTATTTTACGCATGTTTTGCTTCAAACGTTAACCTTTTATTTAAATTTGAACCTTTAGCCCTTGTGACACGTTAGATAATCCATTCTAAATTAGCAATTACGCGTAGCTTTGAGCACTTTGTTTGAGAAGCTTTATTATCGAAATTATTAAGATAACAGATTTAATTATAATGCTAATACTTTTATGGGTATTAGCATAAACATAACGTTGACATATATTCGTGGTTTTACTAGTCATTGTACAATAATTACTTTTAATTATCCAATAATGATATTGTCTATCTGGGTAACCGATGTAGCCAGATGTCATTTGGAAATATTGCATCAAATTAATGGTTCGCAGGGAATTAACGTACCTAGTTTTAAATTTCAACATGTGTCATTGAAAATGATAGAGATCCATCAAGTGTGCTGGAAAGATCATCCGCGTGTGAATATCAGTACAATCTAATATCTAATAAGTTTTTATCTTAAACACATCGAAGACAAGACGACGCAACATGCTATCTACTTCCGGCCTAGTTTTTGTCCTCTTTGCCTTCGTAAGTATACCGTTTACCTATTTTTTTGTCTATATAATTAACAAGATTAACATTTGGTCGATAATCACGTTAACATTTTGTTTGTGTTGATTTCTTTCGACCCTTGTTATTATGTTGAGTGTACAGTTTTGAAATAATTGGATCACGGAAAATGTAAACGTGATTTATAACTGTACTATATTTCTATTGTTTCGCTGCTTTTCACTGCATTTAACACCTTGTTAGTCGGAATATTGCATAAGCTACTGTTGAGCATGAATACCTAACAATCTCGTTTAACCGAAAAGAAAAACTAGATTTGTAGTACATTGGTGACATTCACCGTTTTTGTGTATTTATATGTAGATCACTAGCTGCCCTGGCAAACTACGTACTGCCTAAACGTTTTTCTCACCTTTTAAACCTTCCTTGGACCTCCACGAATATTCCAATACCACAATTGGACAAATTCATCAGCCGTTCTGGAGTTTTAGGGAGACTAACGAACGAAAATTCATTTTTATTCATATAAATGTCAAATAGGTCCAAAAACTACCCACAGTTTCAGGTGAAACCAGCGATATGTTATATTAGATTAGCCACCTGATACGAACCACCCAACTAGAGTAATACATCATGTCGCAACACTGTAATTAACGTTAGCAAACAAACTAATATGACAGCGGTCTAACCATTACTGCGATGTTTATTACATTTCAGAATAAACTATATAAATGATACAATTCAATGAGCAAGTCGAGGAGTCAAGATATAATCAGTGCAGTCCAAGAAAGGAGGTTGTTGTTTTAATTGATTTATAAGAACACATTATAGCCAATTAAAGTTTTCTTAGCAATTACATGGATAGTTTATAGACTCACAGCGTTTATTATGTAAAAGCCGTGAACTGATCTTATTTGACTTGTCGTATTTTGTGACACTGAACATTTGTTTCTTGAGTAAAAGTCGAGATCTGTGCGCCCACGCTTCATTAGTCAAGCTACTGAATCCTCCGTTTACACCACATTCGTGTGTAATTAATCCGAGTATACTGTCGATAATTGCTTTTTTTATAACTTTTTAAATAAACTGGCGTAGGTGTGTAATGTTTGGTCAATTGTTTGTCGCAGTTGAACAAGTTCAGTAACCATTGAGACGCATAAAACACAGTTTAAAGCCACCCGTTACCGCTCATTGACAGGTGCTTCGTTAACTCTCGCTTAATCCTAATTAATAGACTATTAGTGTACGCTTTCAATTACAACGAATGATTTATAATAACCATACACTAAGTATTCGCTGATAAATGCCCGTAGAGATTGTGGTCACATAAATAAACAGGATTAATGGTTTTAAAAATCTATTTTATCAATGTTTTTTAAGAAATTAAATTAACATGGAAATGTCAAAATATTGTGGTATGTCTTCGATTTTAATTACGATATATTTTGTGATATAAAATTTTTATAGTCACATTAAGTCGGATTAGTAGCATTTATTATTTACTCGTTTACGGTTCTTCGCTCGTTTATGAGCAAAATTGTGAGTTCTTGGCTGTAGTAAGTGTTTTAGCGTCCATTTTAGTTTTGTATAAAGACATTAACGCCAAATAAAAAGGCAAAAGGACGCTTTAAAGGCGATCCTTAAGTATGACATTACGGAAAATGGAATAAAGTTCCCAATTTATCTGAGACAAAGTCTAAGGAGATAATAAATGTCATTAAGAGTGGACCTTTCGTGTACGATCACCATAAATTGGTTGAATGTTCAATTAGCATGCATTTGTTCATGTTTGGGTGTAAGCCAACACACAAGAAGTATGTAGGCGTTACAGACACGCCTAATTATATTGTTACTCATCCATTTTATTTAGAATTCAGTAACTGAGTTTACTTTTTGATTTATTTGTTGTACATCCGCTTTTTGTTGACTGTGAATGACGAATTATCTGCTACATTTGTTTTGAGTGTCTTTAATGCTAGCTAAGAAGTAAATAGTAGCTAAGAAGTTAGTATTGATGGAGTTTGAACTTTGGACTCCACTATAACCTCGCACCATAATGTCTTGAAGTAGTGGGAAGATGAGGGGTTGTCTTATAGTACACCATTTCTTTGTTCACTATGCTACTAGTCCAAGTATCATTATCTTATACTATTTTATTATACAGGTATTAACGGAACACTCCTAAACGCTGACAAAAAGAAATTGTTTTTTACAATTTAATCGTTTTAGTTTTCGCGATATTCATTACAATACAAGCCTGCCTCATTGGCCGAGTGGTCGCAAGTGTGACTGCTGGGCAAGGGGTCTCGGGTTCGATTCCCGGGTCAGGCAAAGTATTACTAAGTTTTTTAAAAGTCTCAGTAGTAGCACAGTGTCTGGAAATGTGCCCGGTATATGGCAATAGGCTCACCCCCTATTACTATGGGACTCATAACATAAATGGTGAAAAGTGGGTGTTAATAATTTAAAGGAAAGAACATCCGTACTTTATTAAACGTCGCATATCAATGGAGGATACATTCTGTAATCTCTAGTTAAAATTACCATAGATAGTAAAATTTCCTTTGGATCGAAGGACCATAATACGTTTGCAAACGTGTGCGAAGTAAATAAGAGAACACGATGCTTTATAAGATAAAATGTTAATAAAGACAGTTTAACCATAAGTGGTTTGAAACATTTTGTTGCATTATATTAGTCCCGGTACTAAAGTTGATACTTTGTGTGAATTTGCTGTTCCATAATTATGTACGATTGTCAATAAAAGTCTTCGAAGTGAGGAGTTTATTGTTATTATGGAGATAGAGTGAGTCATAGTATGTAGGTACTTTTTATCGACTTCAAAAGAAGGAAGAGGTACTAGAATCGAATGATTGTTTTTTCAATAACAGGTGAATAATTTACGATATTTTCTGGTAGTTTCTTTTACAGGTGAATTATTTAACCTGTAGGTTGAAAATTTTGAGTTCAGCAATTTTATTTTAACATGTTTTACAAAAGTTTTATAGAACTTTTGAATATAAACTTACGTAGGTATTAAAATAACCTCAGGTATTAGCCTATCTGATAATTTAAAAAAAATAAACAAGCCGACATAGTTTGAAAACAAACACCATCAAAAATTAAAATAAGTAATATATACTAATCAGTACAAATATTTCGTAACAACACTTCAATGATTGACCAATAGGAACGTGTTTCCACTGATAAGATAGCTTCCATTGGTTCCATATTTGCAACCGATTTAAGACTTTCCAATCGGTTCATTAGAATTTCAAATCGACATAGTAAATCGTGTTTTGTTAACTTACAATGTATTTATGAGAAGAAATTGAGTGAGGTGGACAATTGGACATAGAACAATGCATCATTGAATGATCCATTATGGACATGAAGCATTGTATTTCAATCGTCTCTACCGGTTATCGTGGACTGAAAGTGGACACATCAAGCTATGCATAACCAGTATAAGCTGACCTTTCAATATGTGGAACAAGAATACGAATCAAGATCATGATTAACTGGTTCGTACAGTTTGAGTCGTACAAGTCAATCACTTTGTTCCTTCTTGTAAACGTTTATCTTCAATACAGTTTATGTTGTGTTGTATTAGGGAATTTCTTCGGTGTGAAGAGAAATCGATTTTGAAGTAGGTTTTACTATATTTCTATAACAGGATCGAAGATTTGTTGACATAGGTGTGTACATAGTCACAGTTGTTTAATCACAATGAAGAGTTTCATGCTTCCTTCTCCAGACCTTTAAATTTTTTTTTCTTTAAGAAACGTGCCCCACATTACGATTTTCTCCTGTGTCGTGGGTGCGTATACAAACATACAAGTTCACATACACAATGACACCCAGACCCGAAACAACAATTTGTGGATCACACAAAGTGTTGTTCCGTGCGGGAATCGAACCCGCGACACGTTGCACGGCAGCCGGTTGCCCAGCCACCGCACCAACCGTGCAGTCAAATTTATAAATGAAATTTTAGGAAGAAAACATTATAAATATTTGATTGAATTAAAATAGTTTGTTCAGATTGAGAAGCGATTAGCTCTAAATGTTTCTAAAACGCTCAAATTATACCTACAATCTACTAATATTTTTTTATGTGATACGCTGATAAACGACCAGACAAATCACCTGATGGTAAGCAATCGGCGCCGCCCATGGACACCTGAAACATGAAAAGCGTTACAAGTTACAAGTGTGTTTTACCGGACTGTTGGGGATTAGAAATTTGAGGATTGTTGGGAATTCAGGGATTAGCGAGACTGTGGATCGAGTAATTTGGTCCCGGTAATGTAAATACTATGCATTTTGAATAGCAAAGATTTCTAATTTTAAGCCTAAAGAAGCATCTTCTGCTGACTTAAGGAGTAAATGTCGGTACATTTTACATACAGAGATGTCATGTCCCGCCCTAGATACATAAAAGGTTCTGACCAAACTGATATACAAAGGGTAAACGTAATCTTAACTCGCTGTTCTGAATACTTAATCCAATTGTATGATAGACGGCAATGTCATCAGTGATATTTATGTGATTACTAAACTTACCGTGGATGTGCATATTAATATCTATTGCCACAGACTTCAAAGATTATACCTACTGATCTTAGGTCTATTAGTTCTGAAATGAATACTCTTTTATAAACTACGATTAAAAAAACCGACTTCAACCCCCTCTTTTTTGAGGTCGGTTTATTAATGTACTATAACCTTCTCCTATGTGATTATAAGTTTAATGTAATTTTACTTAATGAATTAATTGAATTTTTACTTAATGAATTTTAAATTGACTAACAATAACAATATAACAATATGGGTTATGATCACTGGAAATAAATGTTTTTTATTTTATTATATTTATGTATTTATACTTTACTGAAAACCCCCTATTACATGGGACTCATAACATAAATAGTGAAAAGTGGGTGTTACATTGTACAGTGGCATTAAGTGCCGAAATGTGCACCTCTGCCTACCTCTTCGGGGATAAAAAGGCGTGATGTTATGTTATGTTATGTTTACTGAAAACCTCATCAAAACCGGTTCAGCCAACCGCAAGATAATCGCGCACAAACGTAGGTACATACATACATACATACATACATACATACATACATACATACACATAAATACAGGACAAACTGGGGACCTACTTCTTTTTTTGAAGTCGGTTAAAATTAAAAAGAGTCCCTACGTGAGATAATGAGAATAATAAATTAGCTTATAAACTATCCTACTGCGTGGTAAAGGTCGCTTCTTCTTCTTCACAATTTCTCCTCAAGGTGGAAAGCGATTTTAACTAGATTTAGTTATAGGACTTCCAGCCTTCGTCATCATTTGTTAAAGTCATATTTCTTTGTACCAGTTCTTTTCTATACTTCAAACTAATCTTTACTCTTGTCCTCAGGCGGTGGGTCGCGAAGGTGTCCTATCTTCGGCTTCATCTCGCGAGTTACGCTGTGGTCGGCGACTGGTGTCAGGCCTCTTTTCCCGACCACGTCTACCTCTTGGATATTCTTATGTGACTACTGTTCCTCGTGGGGCCTGCAGGCTCAATGTCTCGGAGATCATGCCCAGCGAGAATTATATAGGTAAGCATTTTTAATCTATGTAAATGAAAATTAAGCGACACTGACTTGATGAAGAAGAAAAGGTAAATGTTACAATCGAAACAAAAGAAGGCAATGAGGATGATAAAACAAAAACATAGTAGGCGATGAATGAAGAGTTGATATTAATAGATTAGTTTACAATTATAGTGGCTATGCCGAAGCCTAACTCATGTCGGTCCCACGGAACAGGTGTGACTGTAAACGATTATAATCACACTACAGTGATATTGAGAGAACATTGTTAGTTTTAAATCATTCGGAACAAAACATTAATCAAAGTTGTTGAAAAAAAATATACGACTGATGAATGGAACGAACCTATTCGCTAGACATTTTTATTTATCATTCCACAATACTTGGTGAATAGTCCTTTGATAAAGGCTAATGGGCCGCGAACGTAAGGTTTGGTCACTTATCAATCAGCATTATAGATGAAGTGGATAGTAAATCATTTGAGATCGTCTAGTTTAGGTAACCACGCCCACTTTATTACAGATACTAAAATGACTTCATCCGGGTTTATACGCAAAACGAAATCAATTTCTGACTTCACTGACAGGTCGTTTACAACATGTCTGTTCTAACAATTAGTGTATTGAACACTTGATGTTTAACACAAGTGGGAAGAAAAGTAAATACGGACTTGGATTATAAATTGAATGTCAATCAAATCAAAGGATATGCTGTAAACACTTAGTATCCAATAGATATTTGACAAATTGTGTGTACTTACAGCTTTGAAGATATCCAATGGGTCGTATATTATGAATGGTGAGTTCGCGGTGTCGGCGGCGGGCACGTACGAGGCTGCGGGCGCGCGCTTCGTGTACACGCGGCAGGGCTCGCTCGACAGCGTCATCGCACATGGACCTATACATCACCCTATCGACATCATGGTACATAGGAAATACATTATCATAACCATTACAATTCATATTAAATAAAAACCAAATACATTATCCATCACTAACCAATTGCTATTTATTGATATCATAAATTGTTCGATAATCTGTTACGCTAAATTGAATGAATATTTATGTTACTTTTATTTCCAGATACTTTATACTCAACCGAATCCAAGTATAAAGTATGAGTATTTCACGGAATCACTTCCTGGTGAGATTGAAAGTGATAGTGTGACGAAGGCTGACTTCCCTGAAGTGTCGTCTACGGCTGTGACGAAGCACTATAGACGGCATCACAGTTACGACGCGTTCCCAAGGACAAACGCTGTTGTGCCACGACATCCAGACCTGAGTTTTAGTAATGAGGATGATGCTGATGAGGTAGTGGTTGGTAATATGAAGTTTATGTGGAAGATACTGTCTTATTCCCAATGCACCAGAACTTGTGGAGGTGGAATACAGGTAATTGACATTCCCATTGAATTTCCTCATTTTTGGTATGTATTGTACCCATATAATACACTAGACACAGTAACTTTGGCCTACATGCTGCCAATCGGACAATGAGGCGTCTAGTCAGTCTGACCGATAAATATCTAATTGAAATCAATCTGTAGCAATGCTTTATGACCGGCGCAGTTTGATAGCAGACCATTTCGGGGCAATTGGTAATGAGCTGTTGCTTCTTCTACGAAGACTGATTTTCTTGTAGTTGATATAAATATTAAAATGCATTTTAATTCGTGGTACTTTCAAAAGAGAAACACAACTTTTTCCTCATTGGCCGTTTCGCACTTATTTTTTTAAATCTGGATCTGGACTAATTAAAAATATATTCCACAGTTGGGTAAGTTCCGATGCGTGGAAGCTAACGGCAGTAACCGCGAGGTGGCAGCACTGCACTGTGCCGGTGTAGCTCCTCCTGCCCGACGTCGAAGGTGTGCTAACATTCCTTGTCCACCCCGCTGGAGAGCTGCTGCCTGGAGTAGTTGTCCCAAATGTGGACCTGCCACCAGGACCAGGATTGTTGGATGTGTACAGGACCATGCCAGGGGTATTACTAAGGTAACTGTTCTGTTAAAGATCTCAACCTTCATTTCCACGTGACACTTCCTAAAAAGTAAACTTGAAAATGTATAATTGTATACATTTTGTATCATTTAAACATATTTATTTCTTTTTATAACCAAAAACTCTTTTTAGATAAGCGATCAAAAATGTCCGCTACCAAAACCAATGACATCAGAAAAGTGTATTATCCCAGAATGTGACAAAGTAATTGGTGGAGAAGTGAGACAGATCTTGTCGAAACGTGTGACGAAGCCGAAGGACCATACAGATAACTTTAGAGAAGGTCCAGTCTATTCAGTAGCTGTTAACAGCACGGATTTTGATGTTGGGCCCGAATACTCATTTAGTCCTGCGGCTGGATGGCTTTATACTGACTGGTCAGAGGTGAGTACTTACTAAAATTTATTGATGGCAAAAAGTTGACAGTATTTGTTGTGAATTGCTCAGAGTATTTGGTTTTTTCTCCTCTTATTGAAATGGTATCTCTTGCTTTCTGTATGTTACCTATCTGTTATTTTACACAAATTAACTTCACGTGTTAGCTCATAAGCTCCAAATTAGTCCAAAATAATCTTAGTCCAACTCATCTAGGTATATCTTTTACTACAGACATTAGAACCAAAATTTAGCAATAAGACCAAAATAGAAATTCAAAATTGTATCACAGTTAAGTGGTGCTCAAAATTTTCATGGAACTGAGGCCGTTTATTTCGGTTGTCCTTACAGGTGCTCAAAGTCATTACTAAGTGCATTGTGATTTATTGTTGTTTCACGTCTTCTTTTTGCTCTATATGTGATGTTTTGACTGAACATTAAACATGTGAACGTTATTGCAACAATGCATTGAGCAATTGACGCGTAAAGGTGGTCTTTGATTCATAACAGAGATAAAAGCATGTCAGTTTTGCTTACTTCAACCAATACAATTCATTTAACTTCTAAATCAATATTTAGTGAAATATTATTTGTTAACATTATTTTCGTAAATTGCATCTCTCAATCCGGTAGCACACGGTTCTCTCAAATGTTTTAGATCACTAAACTACACCAATTTATTGATGTTTCATCTGAAAAATCGAATCGTCATTATTATTTTTCCGCCGATTTATAGCAAATGGATTGGAAATTGCATTCTGTAGCATATGGTTGTCTAAAATTTATTTCAATGGAAATCTACATGGTTCACTAAACAACATCAATTTATTGACGTTTTATTTGAAAATTTGAATTTTATTTACGATATAATTTTCAATTTTTTGTACTTATTTATTGTTACGCACTGATTTATTATTAGTGTAAGGTTCAGAAGTCAGATTTAGTTCCACCCATGCAACAGTTCTACTAATAGCAGTGTTTATTTTATACACATACAGAAATAGAGTTCAATGGAAATGTTTTCCAAAGAAAATGAATAATATTTGTGTCTCAGACACTCATTCAATGTGGGATACTTAACACTAACCATTCATTGAAACTAAAGACTGGATTGTTTAGCGGTTTCTTTGACACCTTATTTATGATTTCATCTTTACATTTTAAACCTGAAACAGACATGTTTGCATTTAGTAGTATTTGAAGGAATTTGAACTACTGGATCCCCATCTGGAGTTTCTCTAACTGTCTTCTAGATATCTGAAAACTCTTGTTATGTTATTTCACCTGTAAATACTTAAATCCTGACCTTCCCCAAAAGTTTTATATCTAAAAGATTTTCATGATAGACCTTTGTTACCAGTGTGTGGGTTGGTGTGTCGGTGGTGGAGTACAAAGCAGAGGAGTACGATGCGCTGATCCTTCAGGATGCTCCCCCAAGAAGGCTCCGGAGTCTTCTCGCATTTGTAGTCCGAAGATCGAATGTGAACCTCTTGATGGGCAGTGGTTTACTGGTAAGTCAACATTGCTGAGTTTGTCATTATTCACTTATATCGTCACCCATGGACATCCTCAACACCAAATGAGGCCTTTTGAATTACGAATTTCATTAAGCATCAAAATTATTATGGTTCAAATAAAATAAATGTACAAAATAATTTATTTCCATTTCTAGGGATTTAATGAGATGTAATCGCTTTGCTGGTTACGGGTATATAGCTAAAAATTATAATGAAACTTATTGCATTGCCGTGTAACTTAATGTCTATAAAAGTAAATTTATAAATTTTACAGGAAAATGTCAAACCTTTATGATTTATTCCACAATTCATTAATGTTATTAATAAAATTCAAAATACTTCTTCACTAAGAATTTAATTAAAGCTATTTTTGCTCAGTTGTAATTAGGTTTATTTAATTTTAACTTGTTAGGTTTTAAGGTTTAGGTAAGTTTTAAATCGTATCAGAAAGTAATTCCATTTTATACTTATTTCTTCAGAAGTTATGTTTTAAAAGAAAAAGAGACTCTTCGGTCTTTAATAACCGATAGAATTTCGAAAATCTTACAGGAGAAATGTTCTTAAGAGAGGAATTCAAATTCATACCCTAATTTGGAAAAAGTAAGTAAAATCAACCATTTTTTTTTTGTAGGTGAATGGTCTCCCTGTTCAGCTCCTTGTCGAGGTAAACAAGTACGTGGAGTTCTATGCATCGGTGGTACTGGAAGACATTTGAAGGACACAGCATGTCACCTGGCAAAACCTTCTCATGAACGAGAGTGCTCCACTGATTGTAGACCAACCTGGTTCTATGGTGATTGGGGACCGGTAAGTAGAATTCGATACCATTTAATAATGCTATTAATATCTATATATATATACTTAATTATTATGTTTTCGCCTTACTCACGTAACTGTTTGACGAAAAACTCGACTAGTTTCAAGCCATGCTAGAGGTATTCATGAGTAGCATTCCGCGACCTGCGACGCGGCGACTGACGCGCTGTTACTGTCAGTGAGTAAGCCGAAAACATTAGTATTAATTTAGTATGTCTCACGAAAGTTTTAATATATACATATATAGTATTAAAAACTATTTCAACACTGCACTATTTTAAATGTACTTTTTGCATGTAAAAAAATAGAAGTGTAGAGAAGCTTTTTATACATAAGACGACCTCTTTTCGACACACTTCTTAAAAAAGCGACAGTACTATTAAGTCAAGGATACACTTGGGGTCAAACGTCCTGTCACACGTGACGCTAGCGAAGTTAGGTGGAGTAGCGCGACGTTGGCAGATTCTGGTCGACCTGTCTGGCAACATTAAGGTCGCTGTGGACACAAGGCACGCGTTGTCGCCTTATAATATATCGGGCAAAATCAGGAGGCTTCGCTTGACATGTCACCGATACACGTCGCGGGACATTTGTCCCCTAGTGTATCCTTGGCTTAATTACATTGCCAATAAAAATTAAAATTGCCTCTCAAACATTCAATCAAAAGTGTACTTAATTTTAAAAGCTGTAAATATAATTTTAACAAGATATTGGAATACCAGTGGAGATAATTATGATTTACACATTATTAACGGCTTTTTTATGAAGATATGTAGAGGAATCAATGTGCGACTTAAGATAAAAACTAAGATAAGTAGTAAGACTTTGGGGGCTTTGTCGTATGATTGAATGTTGATAAACGTTTCAGATTACTGGTGAAGATTTGCGATATATCTAACAGATGATAAATCAATAGTGTACAAGTCAGCTACAATTAGTTGATAATAAACAGCATCAAAGATATATTGATAATTTGATTCAGTGTATCCTGCCTTTTTGATGGGTCTGAAGAGGTCCTCTTATTGCATGGGGGAAAAATCTGTGATTTTTTATTGGAGTCTATTCGGTCTTCGATATTTTATTACAAATAACTATTCTTTAAAAGATTTATATTGATCTCCAGTTTACAGAAACTTCGAAATTATTTGCAAATCAACAAGTATCCTAAATCCTTGACCTTTAAAAATAATAACCGATAAAAATAGTACCGATTTTCAAGATAAACAATTAATGATTATTGTTGATATCTAATCTTTGTCTTTTGTCGTTAAAAGTCTTGTCCGCATGCATTAGTCCGAAGTCCAGAATAGTGGACACTAGATGACTATTTAAATAAACATGTAAAAGGACACGTTTAATTAACTGGACGATACGAAGGGAGCCTTGTGATTGATATTCTAATTAGCGGCGTCTACCATCTAGTTTACGATATAACTTTAGACACTTCTTCGTAAGTCCTAATTGCTTTATTGCAACGACCTTTTCAATTCTCCTAGGATCATGTTGTATCTAATGTTCAGGTCTGGGATTAATACCTATCTTAAATTGCTGATTAAATGTCAACTTGCGATAGAAATTATCAATTTTTAAAGCTGCTATGGCAGTTTATTTAGTACTTCATTTAGGCAAATTTAGATAATCTGTAAATATCATTGTGCTTCATAATTATCTTTATCTATAAGTTGCCTAGAGAAGTATAATAGAAAAACTTATCTACGAGTTCACTGAAATGGATTAATGATAACACTAATACCCAAATGTTTTATCATCTAGTGTATTGGCAACTGCTCGAGTGGACCTAGTACAGGGATCCAACACCGTTCTGTGGTATGCACGAAAGCTGACAATGTTCCTGTCAGTGAGACTGAGTGCGTTTCACCACGTCGAGCAACCCGTACATGTGACCTTACCTGCCCATCTACTACATCTACTACATCTACTACATCAATATCATCTGCTTCATCTGCTTCATCTGCTTCATCTGCTTCATTTGCTCCGTCTACTACGTCTACTACGTCAACTTCGTCTACTACTCGTACAGTCCCAGTTGTTACGCCTCACAGAAAACCGTTACAACCAATTGGTGAGTTGTTTTCTTGACCATCGTGATTATTGTATATAATCTTCTAAACTTGCGACATCGCTGCTAACATGTCTACTGCTTACTTATCTGCTCTGTTTGTACCCATGTTTGCACTTAAGAATACCTGATTAAAAAGACCATGTAGTATGAAAGTGATACCTCATTGAATAGTTTTAATTTTCAAGTTTTCAGACTCATAAGTCAGTAATATGTGTATAGAAGACTTTAGGATACAATACTGCACCTTGTAACTGAAATATATTTATAAAAAGACCGAGACCCTGTAATTACCCAAGTGAATAAACAATAACTTCGTTGTATTGGGCCCATTTTGCTAACAATGTGTTATTTGTTCGTACTTTTGAACATTTCTCCTGCGTTGAGCCTTAAATTATTCTCCAGGGAACAATACTGCGCGAGGGGCGGCCTTGCAAGTAGCCTCAGTAGACGAGGAAAGCTGGACGTACCGTTTCATTTGGAGTCCTTTAGTGGTAAAACGGGTATACAAGAGATACCTCGAGACAGCCATTTTTAAAAGATTATCTGATTTAATGAAGAAAAATAGAGAGTATCCACGAGCAAGCAGGTTTTTGAGACAAAAGAGTTTCCATGATCATCGATGTGTGCTAAAGTAAAGCAATAAATAGGTCGTCCTAATTTTGAGAACGCCTACTGTGACTCTGAAGTGTCTGAATATGCGTTTCTTTTTTAAATATAATGCAATTAATAATTGAAACAATGTCATAATAAGTATGTGTTAAGAAAATATACTTCAATGCAAAATTACAATATTCTAGAAAACAAGAAACAGGTGTGTTTTCTGCGTTGAAGATAAGTGAAGATAAATTTTGATAAAAACTTTAGAAATTATTTTGTAGTAAATTTTTGTATCTATACGAAAATGAATCCTCGATATCTATGATTAAGCAACTTGTTCTTATCATAAGTAACTATGTACATTATGATATTACTAAGATTTTTACGATAACCATGTCCGGAATATGACTCACAGCAGTGTAATTTTTTAGAATTTATTTTGATATGTTAGGCTTCAAAATCTGTTTCAAAAGTTTAATTAAAGTAATTTCAGTTACAAGGTACCGTGTGTAAGCATAATTTAATTGTATTTTTAATAATTTTTATAATTGACAACATACTTGTAGTCTGATTTCTGTCGTTTCATTTTAACACTCAGTAGCATTATCTTCTTACTTTAAACGATAAGTTGTACTTATTTAATGCTTATAAAATATGTATGTGTACACAAGATCTCATCTTTAGACCTGAACTTGAAATTGTTCGCTTTGTAGTATGTTCAACCTTCTAAATATAGACTTTACAAACAAATTCTTCAGCTTTATTATGAAGTTTTGGGTAAGTAGATATAGATAAATAACGTGTGCATTTATGTTCCACAGAACCTTACATAGTTTCAGACCACGAACCTACTCAAAGGAATGTTACTCAGAGAACCGCGTCTAAGGATCGCGGGTCAAAAGGTAAGGGTAGAATTTTAATAAATTAACTTACATCCTTAGTGTTGTAGCTACACTCTCTGTAGCTAAATTAGGAATCATTTGGAAATTTACAAAAGTATTAACGATTTTTTTTCTTTTATACTTTGGAGGAACGAAATTGTGTTATATATGTTTTCTTAAAATAATTATGCTGTTGAGAATATGGGTGTGTTATTTCGGTGCTTTACTCTACTTTCCGTCAAATAGCTATACTTGATTTGTAATTATACATTAAATAAAAAAAAAACGTTAGACGAAACGCAATCTTCTAAGATAAGATTAATCATCCACGATTTATTAGCATGTTTATGTTATTCGATCAAAATCGCCAGTAGCGCCATCTAATGTAGGATAAAATACCCACTTTTCCATAGATGGCGCCAATATTAAAAAAGCAATGTGTGGCACCATTGGGGTGTTACTGTATTGATTTATATGTGTACTATATTTTAGTAATGTAAAAACATTGATATCACCGGAGATAATATACTATCAGATTAGGTTACCCGTAACATACATGTGTAATCAATATAAATGCGACACATAGCTTAAATCTTTGTGTAGATCGCAATATTGTGACCTAATTAATAGCTTAAAATGAATGAAGTGCACGACTATAAAATTTGGGTTGTATTTGCCTTTTTTATGGGATAAACCGGCAAACGAGCAGACGAATCGCCTCATGGTAAGCAATCGGCGCGGCCCATGGACACCTGAAACACCAAAGGAGTATAAGCGAATTGCCGGTCTTTGGAGGAATAACCAAATTGGGTCTCCGGTAACCGCGCTCATGCGGTGAAACTTGTATTGTTTCTGTGAGCCCGTGGTATTACTCTGGTCGATTCAGCTCGTTCGTGCCAAAGCATGGCTCTCCCCCATTCTGCTTGATTTTCTTACATTACATGAACTTTTTGTAGTTGGATGTAGTGTAAGCAATATCACTCAAATACTAATAATCTTGGAACCTAATATTCTCACCTTGTATAGATTTAAGCCGTGTGTTGACAGCGGAGTAAAATATAATTATCATCACCACTGCTCTTCCCACTATGTTCATACGGACGGACCACATATTTAAACTGTCAAACACCGCGAGAACACCGGTGACCGCAACCTATTGTTCTTTAATTGTGTCTATAATGACGGTGCTCAAAGGGTACAGAAAACGAGTAGCAGCGCTCTTTGACAAACTTGATTTTTTGAATTGTGATCTGAAACCTGCCTGACAGGCGTGAAAATTATGACAAACCTCTTTTGTAGAGGAGGCCCATATTTTAACAATGGATTGTCACCCGTATATCCCCAAGCGGTAACCGGTGACCGCTCTCCACTAACTACATTATAGACCTTATTTCCAATGTTTAGAGACTACTTTTGTATGAACAAATTTAGGGAATGAGATTCAACAATTTTCAAGGGCTTTTAACTTAATAAGTAGATCAAAAGCAACGTGTTTGTTTATAGTACTTACCTTACCATATACTTTTTCTTTTCTAGGTAACTGCGCAGACAAATTGAACAACTGCATCCTAGCCGTGCAAGCGCGTCTCTGCCATTACAAGTATTATACACACAATTGCTGCAAATCTTGCGGTGGTCGGTGAAAATCCAATCAAAATAACACTGATAAAAGATAATAGCGCACTATAGTTAGAAAAGTAATTATTTAATCTTCAAAGAAATCGTATGAAAGTATGATCAGTAATATTGTTGTCAAATCGTTATGACAATGAACGAGTCTGGTTGAGTCAAGGGCTCGGCGCACAAGAACAATGTATTGAAGGACCAATTTTGGTACTGAAGTACCGAATTTGGTACCGAAGGACAAAACTAGAGTGAATATATAAACTGAAAGGCATTGGATGAATGTTAAACTGTCAAACACCGCGAGGACATCGGTGACCGCAACCTATTGTTCTTTAATTGTGTATATAATGACGGTACTCAAAATTTAAAAAAAAACGATAGAATTGATAAGAAATCGGTTTTATTGACTTATACGTATGCTATAGTGCGCGATTATCTTTTTACTTAAGTAAATTTTTTGTTATGTATTACGATAGTATGGACACTGTATGTGTCAAGCGATATAACCCGAATGTGTATTTTGCGATATGAAAAAATCGTAGAATTTTTTGTAACATCAAACTTCCTTGTAAAATTGTGAGTAAGTAGGTAATGAAACATCATTTGAGTATTTTTAATTACACAACATCAGATTTATTGCCGGATATTTTTCACTTGATCATCATTTCAAATTACAGTCGATTAAATTGATAATAATGAATTTATCGTTATCTTATTCGGAATGAAGACGATAAGGACATTTTCTTTGTTTAGAATCTTAGACAGGTGTTCCCTAAAACATAAATTATTTAGTTTTAGCTATTAGCTACAGCGTAATTTTTGTGAATATGAGAATCTAATTCACATCATGTATGTAAAAGATTGACAAATAATAATATATATTATTACAACGTCAATCGTCAGCCAAAAATAGGATCAGACAGCCCTATTAATGCTCTCTGTCTTATTTACCATTATACATTAAAATTTAATTAAAAATAAATTAAAATTACATTAAAAGTAATATTTATTTACACTATTGACGTCCCAAAATAAATAATTTTAATTTTTTAAATTTAAAAATTGCAAATACGTAGCAATAAGAATTAACACTTTTATTATTTTGCTTATTTGGTGTGATATTTAAATTTAAGTATATTTTTTTATTAACTAATTTATAGTACAAGTATGTCATGACTCAACTTAGTACTTAGGTTATACCGACGCTTCTAAGTTAATATCATTTTATGTTTTGTAGCTTATTTCCTTCAGCATAAGTTATGTAATTACTTATAAGTACCTATGTATGTGTAAATAGATAGTTCTTTAATAAAACAAGTGATGATTCGATGAAATTTCTAATTTATTTGAGTTTTACTGAAGTCTTATCCTGAAGTACTCAACACGTCTACATGTTGAACCACAAATATAATATCTATGTGTTAAACCCTCTACGGTTCAGAGCCCGTTGGAAATAACTAATTATTGGACCTTCATATTATTATTCTTCTGCGAAACAATAGAGTTACATACAAAAATATGTTTACAAAGCTGACTGCAACGGTTGGCGCCGCGGCTGGGCAACTGACTGCCACGCAACATGTCAGGGGTTCGATTCCCGCACGGAACAAGTCTTTGTGTGATATACAGGTCGTTGTTCCGGGTCTGAGTGTGATCTATATGTGAACTTGTATGTATTTGTAACGCTTTTTTTAAAAAAGAAAAAGCCGCTGAGCTTGAAAGAAGCCATTCGATGATTCTCAATGCTCACAAAAATTCCAAATATACGACGTAAACATAAATCTTAAGGCTATCAGACCTTCTATCAACTCAAGACTAGCGTGGTGGCCGTGATGTCATCATGATACATCACGAATCACGTCACAATATCATTCCGGCGCAGTTTTCTGGCAGACCGCCAACGAGATAAGGGAACAATTTTAATACGTAATAAATGTATCAATTACAACGGTTCGGGTTGACCTGAGTGACCTATTGTGCAGATATGATCCAATTGACAGTGACCGCATTGGCAAAATGCACTGCAAAATGTACAGGTGGTTTGTTAAACGCATCGCGAACTTTTATTCATCCCTAGCTACTCCCACGCACACCATGCAGGAGTAGGAACGGGGTGGTTTTTAGTCAGTAGGAGACTGACACTCCATCTCCCCCCTCACCCAGGTGGAAGAAGTTATACGATGGTTTTGATTTTATAAGCTTATGTCACTTCCTATGTACCGGACAAGGGTCTCGGGTTCGATACCCGGGTCGGGCAAAGTATTACTGGGTGTTTAAAACAAATCTCAGTAGTAGCACGGAGTCTGGAATTGTGCCTGGTATATGGCAATAGGCTCACCCCTTGTTACATGGGACTCATAACATAAATAGTGTAAAGTGGGTGTTACATTGTACAGTGGCATTAATTGCCGTAGTGAGCACCTCTACCTACTTACTCCTTCAGCGAAATTCCTTCAAATGACCCCAGTTAAAAAAATACGTCTTTCGTCGCTCCACTTGGGCCGTAAAAGATGACAAGCAAACAGACATATACGGTGTCGCATATGTTATAACATTATCGTATAGATTGTTATCATCAATGTTGGTATTTTGGTGGTCTGATATTGTCGATAATGATTCATCGCCGTTTCCGGCCACTGCTGAATAAAGGGTTAAGTACACATAAGTTCCATTCAAAATACGTAAAAAGCGTCAAGTATACTGGTAAAAACTGAATAAAGGAAAAAAAACTAAAATACCCATTTATTTAAGACTAGATATATTAAGATCTATTTATTGTATGTATTGTGTGTATGTCATCAAGGTTATTTTCTTTTTCCTTCTCCTTGACTGAATATTGATGTTACATTGTTCTCACGTAATTGACCAACAAAACAATATAACCACGAATATTGTATTTTGAACCTGATTGAAAAGTAGTAAAACATGGAGTTTCCTGCTCGTTCTTCTCCATTGGAATCTACCCTTTGGAACGAGCAAATAGCTGACATTTTTTCTTTAATATTTAAATACAATTTTGTTTTGACGTTCAAAAGTGCCTTCTTGGTATAATTGAAATAAATGATTTTGACTTTGACTTTACCATTACCCACTAGGGAATTTGCTAATATTAAACTGTCAAACAGATTAAACTGATTAAACTGTCAAACACCAAGCGGTCACCGGTGACCGCGACCTATTGTTCTTTAATTGTGTCTATAAAACCGGTACTCGACGAGTTAAACCACGGGACATTATATTTTGATACCTACAGTAATTGGTCAAACGGAACCTTTTTTATTTTTTAAGGGGGAAAAATCACCGAATGACTTCTTCCGCCTGAGTAAGGCCCCGGGATCCCGTGTATATTATTATTAGGTACTATCTGGCTATAAAAACGATGGCTTTCGTTATACTTTTATGAAACACCATGTACAATCTTCTACGTCTACTACAACATAATATGGTACAGATATCTCAATTAAATAGATCTAATTATTTCGTTTGAAGTGAACAAGATAAAGGGAGATGAATTGCAACCAATTTATTATGTAGGTACAACATGTATTGGTCTTGTTTTCGGTTGCTTTATGATCAAATTAATTGCTAAACTTTAAATATCTTTATCTACGTGTCACGAGTTATCGGCGTATCGTTTGAACAACTAAGTTTCTGTAGCAATAATTAATTGCAATTGTATTAAAATTATTGTTAATAAAATGACTGTACAAATAACAGCCCACCCTGGTTTTGTACGTCATTGCCCTTTTCCGGCTAGTTTGTCGAATTTTTCCTCATGAAATCTTATCGATTTTGGTGCAGTCGTTTAGTATCTAGATATGAGTGAATTTCTTATCTTTACGAGGACATTCATTGAGGAAAAGTGATCTACTTTATTTAAAACTCGTACATTAGAGGTATATGTCTATACTATATTTTTTTTTGTTTTCGATTGGTCCTAGTGTGATTTGGCAACGACTACTGATCACGATGTCTTGTATTTAACTCTCGGGTAGGGAAAGAATATAATTATTATGTAGAAGTGTATAATTTCTCTCAGATAAATCAGCTTTTAGGTTTTTGTGTTTGTTTATCTGTTTTGGCGGGCGTCACGTGATGGTGTGGTCTATTTAACAAATAGACAGAGCAACATTTTCATTATGTGTTTTTAAAAACGACCTACAATTTTCAGTTTATTCTACTCATTATGATCCAGGTTTTGCGCATTTAGCTTTACGCTTTGTATTTAGATTTTGCCTAGGTACTTTGATAAATACAAATTTATAAAAAGGACGCAGTTTTTTTACGTAAAAAAAAAATGTTATTGAAGTCGCTAAAGTTTAATACAGATAATACACTCCTGTATAGTTTTTAATGATAAGGCAAGTTTTTTTTAAATAAATATGTCTTTATTATAACATAATTCAATATCTAAATACCTGAAAGAGATATTTCCCTATACCTTATACGCAGGTATGAATAAGGAAAATAAATAAAAAAATATTATCTTATGAGATATTTTTATTTCTAAAAATGTGCACGATATTAGATAAACTTATAAGAATCGTATGTACGTATGTACCTAGATAATTTAATTAATCTGTATTCGATTTCTCTATCCTACTGACCTATCTCTTAAGAGAACAGTAATGATAACAAGAAAACTACAGAAGACATAATTTCATATATTAAAAAATATAAGTACAAATACATACCTACATGTCTGGATATTCAAGCACAATAATTTGTCTCTTACAAAATAAATTTATAACTAATTAAAACTAGTGTTGGTTTAATTTCATAGAAAAAATTTTTTTTTGATGTTTTGCGTCAATTCCGATACGGGGCTTGCGGTGAAACATTAGAAAGCAGTTATTCATCGATTTACAATCTACCAAGTATTTTTAATACCCCATGTCTACACACATTATTTGTAAAAAAAACTTATCAATTATTAAGGCCTAATGCTACCAGTCATAAGCACTCGGGCGCCAGTCATTAACAACAATGAAATTATTGTAAATACAGAAAATGCGATAGCCCAAGCTGGAGAACTGAAGTAATTTGAATTAAAATCGCCATACTTTATGCAAATTGTTATGTAAGCCATGGATATTGTGACAATCGATACAACTACATGTATAGTCTTCAATAAATTATTTAATCTTTCCGCTAATAGTAAGTTCGCGATAGCACCTACTAGTTTCACGGAAACAAATATCATGACGATCAAACCTGAAACAAAAATAAAATAAGTTATTAAAGATGAATCGCCAAAGTATTTTACATTGATAACTTCTGAACGAATGAACCAGCTATTAATATAGGAATATAACAAAATATATTTAGTAGATATATTTTGGTGACTTCACAGATATCACTACATAGTATAAAACTATGTATGCTTAGATCTTTAAAACTACGCAACGGATTTTGGTGCGGTTTATTTTAATAGACAGAGTGATTCTTAAGGAAGGCATAATACATACATATTGTACCTATGGGAAGCCGGAGCGGGTCGTTACTATATTATAAATAGCTGTGTGTGTGGTCAGTCAAAAAACTTGAGTTGAAAATATGTGATAATATGCTTTGCTATATATATATATTAGCCTGCGTGTTTGCTGATGGTCTTAAGTTATAGAAGAAACAGGTGAATTTAACACTGAACCTAATACCTATCTATGACTTCCTTACTCTAAAGTTAGCGTAATTTCAATCAAGATTTAGCACCTGTTTCCCTAACTTAAGTACCCAATGCATTGTTATGACAGATAGTTCATACAAATAACGTTCTAGAGGTATATTCAAAATCTGTTAAATTTTGCTATTCAGACATTGTTTTAATGATGACAACTATATTTATTAAAAATCACTTACCTAAGATTCCGTGAGAAGATTGTAAGTGTTTCCCTCCGACCTGGATTGGACCCACAGTTATAGTATTACTACCAACCGCAGCTATCCCTAAACAAACTCCGACGAATACCACGATACAGCCAATTATTTGAATTATCCAATACATTTTTGTCTTCTTCGGGAACTTGAAATTTTCATTGAACCCCTTGTAAGGGTTGACGGACAATATCGCTTGACTGCAAAGGATTGTAAGCTGTAAATATTTAAAAAAATGTATATTAATACTTCAGTAAATTTTACTATCTTATTTATATACAAGTGTATGTAATGATGTTCAATTTATATCATTTGATCAAATGTTTGGGTTAACCGTTCTAACACAAAGACTATTTAGAATTATATAAAATAGAGTCAGGCGTTATTCTATGGAAATCCATGCTACCACTGAAGGAATGAATTTGCAGCATGCAGTATACAACACCGCATTCTGTCAGGGGAATAATATATAAATATTGTGTAGTAAAGTATATTACTTACCCCAATGACTACCATAAAGGAATGGGCAGTCAACTTTGAGGGGAAACCATCTCCAAGCACAATTCCAAAGAAGGCGGCGCCACCCATCAACACATGTGCGACGGTGTTCATCACATTCATGCACCCCACGTACAACGAAGGCGAAGGTTTTTCCATTTTGTCAACAAATTAATCACCACCAACTTGCACGTTATACACAACACTGTTCAGTGACGGACACTGGCATCGCAATAAATATTCGATAAGTATATCCGTTATCGCTCCGATATCTAACGCATAAGATAAGTTTATTTGGAAGCAAATATGAAAAATGTATTTTCGATACAATATTATCCTCAATTCATCGGCTTTTTGAATTTCTGGAATTTTATACCGTTCCAAGAGTTGGAGACAAATGAATTTTCATCGGATTTTAAAGGATCATTGACTTTATAATTTTTGATATTGACTACGTAACAGCGCGTCACACGCGCGCTTTTATAATTGACGATTGCAGCACGATTACGAGACGAATCCTCATCCTGCGTAGAACCAAACAAATCTGTCTCCACGGCACGTCATTTGACGAATGCATACATCCTGTGAATGAGTGACGCTACGTTGCCGCTACGTGAAATAGTAGGTCTAAGAGCCGCCATACGCGGTCTACTTGAAGCGGTCAGGATCGACTGCTTTAAGCTGCGACGGCATAGTGAACTTTAGACTTCTACTGAAGGTGATATCAGACGGTTCACTCCAAATAATATTCACCCCAGTGAATGGTTTTATTTATCTTTTATTCCATGTTCAGACGACTTTAGTGGAATGACAAAGAAATGACGCTCATTCATTGTTTTTTGATAATATGTCATCGAGAGATATCGTGCGTCTCGGAGTCACTTTAATTTGTGACTGTTTAATAAATTCGGAGAGAATGTTCTTTTTTTGTTCATTCAATGGAAGTGAATGTTTTTGAATGCCAAAATCTAACATTGGATCGGTTCAATAATAAATTATTCCTTTTAGTATTCTTCTTCATTTTGAGTTCAGACGTATCATTTTGAGCCATGAAAATAAACCGTTTGATATCAGCTTTACTCGGACACTATACAGGAACTGCTAGAACAGTTGCAACTGTTTCGGGTGGGAGAAGCTTGGGCTGTTGACTATTCAACGGGACAAATCACTGCAGTGGCCTCAAAGTTTACTCCTTCAGTCAGGGCAGTAAAACCTCTTACAAAACTTAGTGCCCGCATTACTGAAAGCACTTCAAGTGGTTTCGAACCATTATTAAGACAAGGCAGCAGAATACAGGTGGAATCGGAGTATTTAAAGGGGCAACATTCAGGTTACAGCTGAAGTGGCAATGCGCCGGTCACATTAGTTGAAGAACCGAATACCGATAGGGTAAACGTGTTCCAGAGTGGAGACCGCGTCTAGGCAAACGTAGTGTAGGGCGCCCTCCAGCTAGGTGGAGTGACGACATCCGCAGGGCTGGCTGGCAGTGGTTGCATGAGAAGACCTTGAGACCGAGTTCAGTGGCGTGCCATTGGAGACGCTTATGTCCAGCAGTGGACGAATACAGGCTGTTGATGATGATGATGAAGGCTATTGACTCCGCTTTATTGCCACAAAGCAAAGGCCGTACACGGAACGCAATCTCAGGGCTTAGTACGAGTTTGTTTTACCTCCAATAAGATCGAAATGTTACAGCATTCGGCGCTCCTGATTGGTCTGCTTCAATAAACCGACCAATCCGTGGGCTAAACGCAATAATGTTTCGATTTCGTTCGCGTTTACCAATTCTTTCCTATCAACTAAACTTTCAATAGAACAGTAATGGAAAACAAGAAAACTACAGAAGAGATAATTAATTATATATAAAAAATATGTACAATGTTTGTCTATATAATTAAGCACATTATATCTCTTAAAAATAAATCTATGACTAATTAAAATAAGTGTTTGGTTTATTTTCATAGAAAAAATACAATTTTAGTTTTTCCGCGTTACCTGCTGCCAGTAGCCAAGTTACACGCGAATGAAAAACACGGGAGGTTAATTAACTAAAAATCGCGGATTACTCACGTGAATATACTGAGAAAAACTCTACTTGTAGGAGTAGGCTGCGCGACATCGCCGCGACCGCGCACGCTGCTCATGAGGAAGCACCCCCCTGTGGTTCGAAACTAGTAGAGCTTTTCTCAGTATATTCACGTGACTAAGCCGCGATTTTTAGTTAATTTTGTATGTCTTACGATAGTTATCATAAAAACGGAGGGCTAATACAATACAATACAAAAACTCTTTATTATACACGATCATAACACAAAGGGCAATCATTCAGAAATCAATAGTTCAATGAGTGGACCTAATACTAAAAAGTAATCGCTTGTAGACAACCCTTCGATGGATAAGCAGTATGGGAGAATATGGAGAGTCCATCAGCCTTGACCCAAGATTTAGGTACATGCCTTTTCATTTTCAATTCCGTATACGCATATTTGTCCATGTCTAATTCATAACAATATGTAATTGACATTAATTGTGAAAAATCTTATTAACTAATTATTAAAGCTTAATGCTACCAGTCATAAGCACTCGGGCGCCAGTCATTAACAACAATGAAAATATTGTAAATGCAGAAAATGCTATGGCCCATGATGGAGAACTGAAGTAATTTGAATTAAAATCGCCATATTTTATGCAAATTGTTATGTAAGCCATGGATATTGTGATAATCGATACAATTACATGTATAGTCTTCATTAAAGTATTTAATCTGTCCGCTAATAATAAGTTCGCGATAGCACCTACTAGTTTTACACCAACAAATATCATGACTATGAAACCTGAAACAAAACAAAAATAAATAAATAAAAATGAATTACTAAAGAGTTTTTATATTGTAGACATTGTAGAACATACTTTTTTAAAAAGAGTAACGAATGGAGTTTCTTGCTCGTTTTTCTCCATTTTTTTTTTTTTAAATGTTGCCCCACTCTAGGATTTTCTCCTGTGTCGTGGGTGCGTTTACAAACATACAAGTTCACATACACAATGACACCCAGACCCAAAACAACAATTTGTGGATCACACAAAGTGTTGTCCCGTGCGGGAATCGAACCCGCGACACGTTGCACGGCAGCCGGTTGCCCAGCCACCGCACTAACCGTGCAGTCAATTCAAGCCATTCGAATCTATATTTCGGAATGAGCACCTAGCTTCACCTAGCTTTACTGACGGACTGACTGACAGACTAATATTTATATTGTATTTGTTGACGTTTCAAAAGTACCAAATTATGGTTTAATTGAAATAAATGCTTTGACTTTGAAAAAATTACTTCTTAAGAGATGAACAAATTTTTTTTTCTTTTTTTAATAACGTTGCATGGCAGCCAACTGGCTGCCACCACACCAACTGTGCAATCTAATTAAATATGCCGTCTTCTTATTCATTCTTTGCCAGGACAAGATTTGAATGAAATAATTTACCGTCAAATGTAAGTAAGGTACTAAAATTGTTAATATTGTGGAGAAGCTTTTGGTATTCATTTTAAATTTAAATGTTGACACAGATTATCGTAAGAAGTTATTATTTTCACATATAGCATAACTCAAGCGTGTACATTTGGGGTTGTTAAACTCTCTCATATAAGGTCCTCATAAATTGATGTGACAGATAGTTCATACAAATCACGTTCTATATTTAAAATCTGGTAGATGTTGGCTATCCAGACATTGTGAAACATGCCCTTAATTTAAATAATATAAAACTCATTTACCTGTGATTGCATGACCAGTTGTAAAGTGTTTCCCGCCGACCTGGATTGGACCCACAGTAATAGTATTACTACCAACCGCAGCTAACCCCATACAAGCTCCGACGAATACCACGATACAGCCAATTATTTGAATTATCCAATACATTTTTGTCTTCTTCGGGAACTTGAAATCTTCATTGAACCCCTTGTAAGGGTTCACTGACAATATCGCTTGACTGCAAAGGATTGTAAACTGTAAGTATTAAACAAATATGATATAAATACCGCAGTAAATTTCACAAACTTTTTTATATACAAGTGTAGGGGCAGTCGTTTTTAATGATGTTCAATTTATGTCTTTTAAACAAAAGCTTGGCTGAACCATTCAAGTACAAAATACAAAGAATGTTACTTACCCCAATGACTATCATAATGCAATGGGCAGACAACTTTGAGGATAGACCATCTCCAATCACAATTCCAAAGAAGGCGGCGCCACCCATCAACACATGTGCGACGGTATTCATCACATTCATGCACCCCACGTACAACGAAGGCGAAGGGTTTCCCATTTTGTCAACAAATGAATCAGCACCAACTTGCACGTTATACCCGACACTGTTCAATGACGAACACTGGCATCGCAATAAATATTCGACGGGTCGGTCTGTTATCTTCGACCATTCTGATATCTAATTCACAAAAAGATTAGTTTATTTGGAAGCAAATGTTAAATATCTAGATATTTAACATTTGCTTTGTTACAATATCATCCTCTATTAGGAATGTCTAAACTACCTCGTTGGCCGAATGGTCGCAAGTGCGACTGCCGGGCAAGGGGTCTCGCGTTCGATTTCCGGGTCGGGCAAAGTATTACTGGGTTTTGATAAATTCTTAGTAGTAGCACGGAGTCTGGAATTATGCCCGGTTTATGGCAATAGGCTCACCCCCTATTACATGGGGCATAACATAAATAGTGAAAAGTGGGTGTTACATTGTACAGTGGCATAATGTACACCTCTGCCTACCCCTTCGGGGATAAAAGGCGTGATGTTATGTTATGTTATGTTATTAAGAATGTTTAGGCCACTTTTTACAGTTCCAAATCTTGAATGAGTTCTAATTAAAGTCCACACAGAGATTCCATTCAGTAACAATTTACTTAAACAGACGATGTTTCAATAAACAGATGCTTAGAAGACAATTTTTTTGACGTGACTGCTTGTACTCTGGACACGCTTGGGCTGTTGACTATTCAACTGGACGAATTACTGGAGTGGCTCCTTGTTTAGTTTCTCAGCCAGGGTAGTAAAATCTCTTATATCCTTACCGATTTCGGTAACGGCGACCCTTAAAATCCTTACTAATATTATAAATCTGAAAGTGAGTTTGTTTGTTTGTTCCACCTTCACACCGTAACTACTCAACCGATTGCTTTGAATTTTTGCAGACGTAAAGTTAGAAGTCCGGATTAAATAATAGGGTACTTTTTATCACGGAAAAAATTAATATTCCCAAAGGAAAACAAAAGAATTGGTATAGATGGCGCTATGTGTATTGGTATATGTCACATAGGCTACTTTTTATCCTTTTGTGACGCGAGCAAAGCCGCGGGTAAAAGCTAGTCTCTTATAAACTAAATGACTGCTTTGCTGCGGGCAACCCAAGTGGGGTTTGAACTGAACCATCATTGAGGCAGGCTAGCAGAAGACAGGCTGAAGATTTAAAGTGTGGTATTTAAAGGATCTAAATTTAAGGTTACTGGCTCCTTTGTGGCAAGCTGTAAACACGGAATACAAATAAATAATCGGTGATCGAAACGTTACCGCCTGCTCAAATGAACCAGTCAATCAGAGATCTTAGTACGAGTTTGTTTTAAGTTTAAAATAATCGTAACGAGTACGCGTTCGGCGTTGTGATTGGTTGCTTCATTGGTGCCGGCCAATCAGAGTGCCGAACGCGTACTCATTTCGAATACTTTAAACGTAAATCAAACTCACACTAAGGCCTCTGAGGGCTAAACGCGATAACGTTTCGATTTCCTTCTTGTTTAATCTTTACTATTATTTAAACTGTTAATGGAAACAATAACACTCCAGAAGACATAATTTTATTAATTTAAAAAAATATACAACACGTGTTTGTGTCATCAGGACATTTTAAGTCTTATAGATAAATTTATGACTAATTAAAACTAGTTTTTTTTTTTTTTTTTAATATTATAAATTATTTCTCCACGGACTCTAGGTCCGTGCCCTTGTCATACAGTTTTTTAATTATAATACATCTAGTCAATTTTTATAAAGTAAAGAGGGAACCTAGTTACACACTACAATTAACTACATCTAAAATTATTACCAAAAGTATAGGTTACATAATAATTAGGCACTATTTATTTATTTCTATTTCAAAGGCTTTATGAAACCAGCCCACCAACAAGATGGGAGAGCCGACCTGACCCAGCAGAAGGCACCCGTTCACGAGTATGACGTGTGTGTCAGCAATTGGTCCGGTCAACCTTTTTATTGGGAACGGAACAACCCAACACACAGCGCCACCGACTGTAGGACATTTATGTGTGCATGACGCCTCAACCTTTGCCACATGGGCCGATTCCAATAAAGCGTACAATAGTCCAAAGTCAATTGGTTATATTCTATTTCTATATGTTTCTGCACACACATTTCCTCATGTTGCATTCGTTTCATCACAAGCAACACTCCCCGCCCAAGAGAGCACCCATGACTGCCGCGTTCCTGTGTCTGATAGCCATTTTCAGGTTGTAGTCCTTAATACCTTGCTCACCCTCATCAGCCGCCTTCCTGATTAGTTTGCTTATCGCGTCTTCACTGTTGTCTGTGTAATAGATGCAACCATGCGTGTGACGCGATATTGCTACTACCGCGTGTGGTACGCTGTCATGTATTTGATGTTTCTTTGTTGCTGTGTTGACAACAATCACATTCGCACACGAAAGTCCCTGTGCCTCGTGTATCGTGAGCACGCGTGATCCCACGGTCGACCCGTATCCCTGGTTCTTAAGGGATTCCTTCTCTGCCTGAGTGTGTACCAGGTATAAAGTGTCGGGGAGTGACTTTGGAATCATCGCCCCCGAGAACCTTTTTATCTCGAGGGATCTCACGAACGACCTGGACGAGTATATGCCACTGTAAACTGTGCTGAGGGCATACGCCACATCCATTGGATTTCTGTGGGTACACATCAATTCCTGGCTTATGGGCGTGATATATGTAGGGCGGCTGTAGAGTAGAGGGAAGAGGTTATCACGATCTATAAACGGAAGCTGATTTATGTCACCAATTAGAAGGACTTCCTTGGCTCGAGTTATTCGGGCGGCCATCACAACGGCTCCAAAGTGGTTCATGAGAGCCTCATCTACCATTAGTCGATGGCAGCTCTCTCGCGAGGAGCGAGAGAGCTGCCATTAAAACTAGTTTTGGTAGTCTTATTTTATATTATATTGACTGCCTTGTTAGCACGGAGTCTGGAATTGTGCCTGGTATATGGCAAATGGCAATAGGCTTACCCCCCTATTACATGGGACCCATAACATTAATAGTGAAAAGTGGGTGTTACATTGTACAGTGGCATTAAGTGCCGTAATATGCACCTCTGCCTACCCCTTCGGGGATAAAAAGGCGTGATATTATGTTATGTTAAAACTAATGTTTGTTTTATTTTACCAAAAAAAAACAATTTTGAATTTTTGCGGCACCTTCTGCCGATGGCCAAATCCCACGAGAATTACCAACACGGGGGGTTAATACAATACAATTAAAAAATCCTTTATTGTCACCATAAAATACACAAAGGACAATCATTTACAAATAGATATTTAAATGTCACTTATCACTAAAAAGCGATCTGTTACAGACAACCGCTCGATGGATAAGCAGTAAGGCAGAACATGGAGAGACTCATCAGTCTCGTCTCAAAATTTACATGCCCATACCTCAAAACTTATTCATTATTAATACTACCAGTCATAAAAACTCGGGCGCCAGTCATTGACCACACCGACAGCATGGTAAATACAGTAAATGCTATAGCCCAAGATGGCTCACTCCAATAATGATCATGAATATCGCCATACTTTACGCAAATTGCTAAGTAAGCCAATGATATTGTTACAATTGATACAATAACGTATATAGTCTTCATCAAATTATTAAATCTTTCCGATAACAGTAAGTTCCCGATAGCACCTAATAATTTCACCGACACTAATAACATGACCATCAAACCTGAAACAAAAATAAAATTAATCAGTAAAGTATTTTACATTGATGGTTTGGACATGTAGACAGAATAGATGAAAGAAGAGTAACGAAAGAAGTATACAGAGTGGATATGAATGGGGCCGTCGGTAGAGGGCGCCCTAGACGGACATATACTGACCAGATTGGCGATCTATTAACGAAGGGCCAAATTAAAAGTACTCTAAACCGCTGAGCATGCATGAAAAGGTTGATGACTGATGATGAAGCGAAAGAAATGTAGGAATCGTAATAATTGGCCATCCATAGTCTGTGCCTACCCCTATGGGAGACAGGCGCGAAGTTATGTATGTAGGTAATTTCTAAACAGTTGAGTAAACATTCGTCCGTCTTTATTATTTGGTATTTGCTAAAACATGTCTTTATTATTTGGTATTTGCTAAAACATAATTGATTTTTGAATGCTTCAGTGTGAGTAATAAATTTGATTATTTTGAGCTGATAACTTACTTTATCAAAACAATTTTGATAAAGTAAAGAAAAAGTTTTTGTATCCATTTATAATTTAAATTCACACAAATTTTTAAATATAAGAGAGATATCTTTTTTAAATATAAAATAATCGAAGACACACAAACAATAGAAACAAAAATGGTTGAGAATAAGTAACAGAAGATGTTAATTTAACAAAAAACCTAGTGTAGGTGTGAGTGTAGGGGTCTGTTTTAGCACCCTCAAATATATAAATTAAAATTGATGTTAAAAACTTACTTACCAATGATTCCATGAGAGGTTGAAAAGTGTTTCACGCTAGCCTGTATTGGACCCACAGAGATAGTAAGGCTACTAACTCCAGCTATCCCCAAACAAGCTCCGACGAATACCACGATACAGCCAACTATTTGAACTATCCAGAACGTTTTCGACTTCTTCGGGAACTTGAAATTTTCATTATACGCCTTGTAAGGGTTTACTGACATTATTGCTTGACTGCAAAGGATTGTTAGCTGTAAATATTAAATATTTTATTATAATAAAACCTCAGTAATTTCACTATTTTATTTATAAGGTTCAGTTGTTTTTAGTGATGTTTAATGTATGTTTATAAACAAATATTTGGCTCAAATATTCAAGTAAAAAATACAAAGAATATAACTTACCCCAATTACTGCAAAATACGAATGGGCTGTGAACTCGGGTAATACATCTCCAATCACAATTCCAAAGAAGGCGACTCCACCCATCAACACATGTGTGACGGTATTCATCACATTCATGCACACTACGTACGATGAATTCGGAGGTTTTCCCATTTTGTCAATATATTAATCACCACCAACTTGCACGTTATACCCGACACTGTTCAGTAACAAACACTGACATTGCAATAAATATTCGACAGGTCGGTCTGTTATCTTCGACCACTCTGATATCTAATTCACAAAAAAATTAGTGTATTTGGAAGCAAATGTTAAGTATCTAGCTTTGTTACAATATTATCCTCTGTTAGGAATGTCTAAACTACCTCGTTGGCTGCATGGTCGCAAGTGCGACTGCCAGGCAAGGGATCTCGGGTTCGATTCCCTGGTCGGGCCAAGGATTACTAGGTTTTGATAAATTCTTAAAAATAGCACGGAGTCTGAAATTGTGCCCGGTATATGACAATAGGGTCACCCCCTATTACATGGGGCTCATAACATAAATAGTGAAAAGTGGGTGTTACATTGTACAGTGGCATAATGTACACCTCTGCCTACCCCGTCGGGGATAAAAGGCGTTATTTTATGTTATGTTATGTTATGTTATTAAGAATGTTCAGGCCACTTTTTACAGTTCCAAATCTTGAATGAGTTCTAATTAAAGTCCACACAGAGATTCCATTCAGTAACAATTTACTTAAACAGATGATGTTTCAATAAACAAACGCTTTTTTTTTTTTTAAGGGTGGAAAATCATCGAATGACTGCTCCCGCCTGGGTGAGGCGGAAGGGAGTGTCAGACTCTTACTGACTAAAAACCACCCCGTTCCTTCTCCTGCACGTCGAGCCGGAGCCCCGGTTACCCGTTAGGTTCTCCGCGACTCCGAATCGGCATCGGCCCTATTGGGCCCCATCTGTGGTGGTCTGATGGCTCTTTGAGGCGCGCGCGGAACGCGACGCGCCGTACGCTCGGGTCTGTTTTTGGTCGGACGGGGAGCCACCCATGCTCGCCGTCCGCAGGCCCGCGCTTACGGTGGCCGGAGATCGTCCCGCGATCCCCGACGCCCGGTGTGTCCTTCGCGATGGCTGGGTTGCGAGGAGGCAGCGCTTCGCTGCCTCACGCGTCCCGCCTCCTCCTTAGCTAGCATGACTGCTTCGCAAAAGGAGGAGACGGCATCCCAGTCCCCCTCGCTCCGCATCATGGCCTGCACTAAGCCCGGACGCGAGAGGTCGCTATCGCCGATCACTTCCCTGAGGGCACGGCGGTGCCCAGCCCACGCAGGGCATTCCGCTACGGTGTGTTCCACCGTGTCCTCAGGGCGATCCTCGCAGTGATGACACCCGGGCGTTTCCTCCCGCCCCATCAGACACAGGTACCTCCCGAAACTTCCATGTCCGGTGAGGACCTGCGTCAGGCGGTAGGTGAGGACGCCGTAGCGTCTCTCAAGCCACTCCTCAAAGAGGGGTCTTACCGCTGCAATGGCAGCGAGCCCAGCCCTCGGTTGCGACAGTCGTTGCTGCCATTCCGTCATGAGATCGCGCCGGAGCTCATCCCGCCACGCACTTATCTAGCGCGGCAGCGGAGTTTCGCCTCGGCGACGTGCCTCCGCGCGCATGTGATACACGCGCGCGAGCACCTTCGCCTCCAGCTCCCACGGCGGTAATCCGGCAAGGAGGTTCGCCGACTCCCCGGAGATCGTGCGGTATCCGCGGATCATTCGGATCGCCATGACCCTCTGTGACATGAGCAGCGTCCGAGCGGGACGCCGCAGCATGTTCGGCACCCACACAGGGGCGCCGTAGAGGGCCATGGACCGCACGACCCCGGCAATAAACAGATGCTTAGAAGACAATTTTTTTGACGTGACTGCTTGTACTCTGGACACGCTTGGGCTGTTGACTATTCGACTGGGCGAATTACTGGAGTGGCTCCTTGTTTAGTCCCTCAGCTAGGGTAATAAAATCTCTTATATCCTCCTTACCGATTCCGGTAACGGCGACCCTTAAAATCCTTACTAATATTATAAATCTGAAAGTGAGTTTGTTTGTTTGTTCCACCTTCACACCGTAACTACTCAACCGATTGCTTTGAATTTTTGCAGACCTAAAGTTAGAAGTCCTCTGAGGGCTAAACGCGATAACGTTTCGATTTCCTTCTTGTTTAATCTTTCCTATTATCTAAACTGTTAATAGAACATGGATGGAAACAATAACACTCCATAAGACATAATTTTATTAAGTTAAAAAAATATACAACACATGTTGGTGTTCAAGGACATTTTAAGTCTTATAAATAAATTTATGACTAATTAAAACTAGTTTTAGTAGTCTTATATTATATTGACTGCCTTGTTAGCACGGAGTCTGATATTGTGCCTGGTATATGGCAATAGGCTCCCTTAATACATGGGACTCATAACAATAATAGTGAAAGGTGGGTGTTACATTGTGCAGTGGCATTAAGTGCCGTAATATGCACCTCTGACTACCCCTTCGGGGATAAAAAGGCGTGATGCTGTGTTATGTTAAAACTACTTAGTGTTTCGTTTATTTTAAGACAAAAAATACAATTTTATCTTTTCGCACCCCCTTTTGCCGATGGCCAAATCCCACGAGAATTACCAACACGGGGGGTTAATACATACAATTAAAAAATCCTTTATTGTCACCATAAAATACACAAAGGACAATCATTCACAAATAGATATTTAAATGTCACTTATCACTAAAAAGCGATCTGTTACAGACAACCGCTCGATGGATAAGCAGTAAGGCAGAACATGGAGAGACTCATCAGTCTCGTCTCAAAATTTACATGCCCATACCTCAAAACTTATTCATTATTAATACTGCCTGTCATAAAAACTCGGGCGCCAGTCATTAACCACACCGACAGCATGGTAAATACAGTAAATGCTATAGCCCAAGATGGCGCACTCCAATAACGGTCATTAACATCGCCATACTTTACGCAAATTGCTAAGTAAGCCAATGATATTGTAACAATCGATACAATAACGTATATAGTCTTCATCAAATTATTAAATCTTTCCGATAACAGTAAGTTCCCGATAGCACCTAATAATTTCACCGACACTAGTAACATGACCATCAAACCTGAAACAAAAATAAAATTAATCAGTAAAGTATTTTACATTGATGGTTTGGACATGTAGACAGAATAGATGAAAGAAGAGTAACGAAAGAAGTATACAGAGCGGATATGAATGGGGCCGTCGGTAGAGGGCGCCCTAGACGGACATATACTGACCAGATTGGCGATCTAATACAGAAGGGCCAAATTAAAAGTACTCTAAACCGCTGAGTATGTATGAAAAGGTTGATGACTGATGATGAAGCGAAAGAAATATGTAGGAATCGTAATAATTGGCCATCCATAGTCTGTGCCTACCCCTATGGGAGACAGGCGTGAAGTTATGTATGTATGGTATGTATGTAATTTCTAAACAGTTGAGTAAATATTAATAGTCCGTCTTTATTATTCGGTATTTGCTAAAACATGTTTGTATGAAATTATGGCGACACAATTAATACCGACAAAAATAATTGATTGTCGAATGCTTCTGTGTGAGTACTAAAATTGATTATTTTAGCTGATAACTTAATTTATCAAAACAATTTTGATAAAGTAAAGAAAAGGTTTTTGTATCCATTTATAATTTAAATTCACACAAATTTTCATAAAGAGATACCTTTTTTAAATATAAAATAATCGAAGACACACAAACAATAGAAACAAAAATGGTTGAGAATAAGTAACAGAAGATGTTAATTTAACAAAAAACCTAGTGTAGGTGTGAGTGTAGGGGTCTGTTTTAGCACCCTCAAACATATAAATTAAAATTGATGTAGCAGATAGTTGATACAATATTTTTTTATTAAATTATTTTCGAAATCTGGTAAATTTAGGCTATGCAGACATTGTTTCGATGGATACAAATAATAAAATAAAAACTCACTTACCAAAGATTCCATGAGAGGTTGAAAAGTGTTTCACGCTAGCCTGTATTGGACCCACAGAGATAGTAAGGCTACTAACTCCAGCTATCCCCAAACAAGCTCCGACGAATACCACGATACAGCCAACTATTTGAACTATCCAGAACGTTTTCGACTTCTTCGGGAACTTGAAATTTTCATTATACGCCTTGTAAGGGTTAACTGACATTATTGCTTGACTGCAAAGGATTGTTAGCTGTAAATATTAAATATTTTTTTATAATAAAACCTCAGTAATTTCACTATTTTATTTATAAGGTTCCAGTTGTTTTTAGTGATATTTAATGTATGTTTATAAACATTTGGCTCAAATAGTCAAGTAAAAAATACAAAGAATATAACTTACCCCAATTACTGCAAAATACGAATGGGCTGTGAACTTTGCGGGTAATACATCTCCAATCACAATTCCAAAGAAGGCGACTCCACCCATCAACACATGTGCGACGGTATTCATCACATTCATGCACACTACGTACAATGAAGGCGGAGGTTTTCCCATTTTGTCAATATATTAATCACCACCAACTTGCACGTTATACCCGACACTGTCCAGTGACGAACACTAACATCGCAATAAATATTCGATTAGGAAGTCTGTTATCGGCGCCGATATGTAACTCACAAAAGATTAATTTATTTTGAAGCAAACGTCAAATATGTATGCATTTTGATAATTAGTATTTTGTCTTCAATAAGGATATTCTCCTTCACGCCCTATTCCATTGGACGCATAACAGAAATTGTGTAAAGTGGGTGTTACATTGTACAGTGGCATTAAGCGTCGTAATGTGCACCTCTGCCTACCCCTTCGGAGATAAAAGGCATTATATTACGTTATCCTCAATAAGGATATTCTAAAGCAGTGGAAGGAATATTTTGAGAGTTTATTTGAAAGGGATGACCTGAGAACTGAGGAAGTAAATGATGATAATGCATGTGCTTGTGTGGGAGAAATAAATGTGTATAAAATTATAAGTGCCATTAAGAGTTTGAAAGATGGTGAAGCAGCGGTATATGACTCGATAACTGCTGAAATGGTAACAAGGACATTCCAAATCTGCTGTGTCTACTTTTTAATAAGTGTTGGCGGT